CAATACACTCTTTCATTTTTTTATGTATAAAATATATTTGATGGAGTCGTGCCAACCTAATGCCCTATGCATTCTTAGGCCTTATAAAATGCTAGACATAATAATCACTTTAGTTTTTGATACAAATTTTTTGTTAGTTTCAATGCTTATACTTGATTTGAATTATTTTATCAAAAAATAAATTTATATTTATATTTATAATCACATTCAATTAATTATAAGATTGAAAAAAAAAATGTGTTTGAAGGAACCATGAGATAAACTTTGGTCTATCGAAATATAACATGCCGTTTTTATAAAAAAATATAGACAAAAAAACAATAAATAAATAATGTTGTTTAAAATATAACTGGAAAAAGAATTATCGTCGTATGACTATTAAATTTCTGATTTTTTTAATATTATTGTAAATACAAAACTTTAGTTTCCAATAAATCGATTTATAATAGAAAAAAAATGAATCAAAAGTGTAGCCCACAAAATCAATAGTAATATTATAGCTGCTTGGCATAAATAGATCATTTGGTTTCACACACCAATAGTAATGTTATAAGTGGGTGATGAGTATTTACATGTTCTGTGTACATACTTGGAGCATTCAAAAACCGTGGTTTGAACCATCACATCCATTTTTCTTAAAAAAGTATCTTTTGACAAAAAATAAATAGAATAATCTATGTATTTTTTTTCCTTGAAACGAGGAATGATCAAGAATCAATGGAGAAAAAACTCCATTAAACGAATTCAAACATTTCTCTACATTAAACAAGCATTAAAAATTTCCAGATCATCTCAACCAACTAAAAAGATTTAAAACCTAATGTAATATTCACAGTTAGTCAATTTAGAAACGATAAGCGTTAAAAATGATTTTTTGGTAGAAGAGTGTTTAGAATGAATAATCTTAACGAATTTGTAGTGGTCGTGACAAGGATTCCGGATATATAATGAATGCCGAAATCCGAGTTATAACGAAAAAGTTATGACCTGTTGAATTTCGCGACAAAACGCAACGTAAATAGCGAATTTACGATTGAGTGGTATTTGGCCTTAGTGATCTAAACAAAAGTCGTAGAATACGTTAAACTGAGAGCGTGCATAAAAAAACCTCCAAATTTGACTTCGTATGAGGAAGTTATGATTTTTTTAAGTTTCAGCTTAACACTATGTAGCCTGAAGTTCGGATGAAACAATCTAAACGAGAATCAAAGATCATGTTTATTGTAGTTTAACGGTAAAAAGACAGACAAAAACGGACGTCGGATGAAGAAGTTATGAATTTTTAACGGACTTTTCCTGTCTCTGTCCCGGTCTGTTAAAAATATAACTTTAAAAATAAAGTCAAAATTAGCCGACAGAGTCTAAACGAAAGTTGTAGAGCATAGTCTCACCTAAGCATGGATATAAAGAATGTCAAAAACGGAGTTCGTATGCAAAAGTTACGAATTTTTGAAGTTTGATAAATAGGAGTACGCCCAACGTACTCGTGTTCACGGTCTGAGATTGGCCACGTTGCCTATTCCTCGCAATCGTCAGGTATCACGCAAGTTCGACACTTCCGATGCCACTCATCAGAGTACGCCCAGCGTACTAAGTTGTACGCCCAACGTAGTGGCTGTTAGAGCAGTACGCCCAGCGTAATGGGTGTTTCAGCCACTATAAATAGCAAACGAAGCCTTCGGGTTTTTGTTTAGAAAATTTATTCCCTCTCACTCTCTACTCTCTTTTAAGCTACTTTTAACCACCGTAGTCCCGGTATCATCCCCGACACCGAAGCAAGTCCCGACGCCCCGAAGATCCCGAGAAAAAGAGTTTTTGAGCCGAAACTCTGCCCGTGTAAAGCCCGATTTTTGGGAAAATGTCTCGGTTTTATTGGAAACGATTGTTTTAAGAGATGAGGTGTTGTCCAATCATCGTCTTATCATGTGAGTGTATGGTCACTTTCATGTTACACATAGATATAATATATTTTATATAAAATATGTGTTATGTGTATATATGTTGTTTGTTTATTTGAGATTGATGTTGAAAGAATGTTTTATACATGTTTTAAACTGTATATGTATTGTATATCTACAAATTTATTGGGTAAAACATGGGTAGATAACGAATGAGGGATAAAAGATGATATAGATGTTATTTGCAGCTGCGCCTAATAAATAACATTTGCAGCTGTGCCCAATAGAGAATTAATGATGTTATTGGCAGTTGCGCCTAATAAATATCATTGGCAGTTGTGCCATAGGCAAAGATGAATGTGTCTATTCCTTAGGTTAATCCTTAGGAATAAATGAATGAGGAAAGCAATGTTGTCACCCTGATGTTTGCTTATTTGACACAATTTGCTGAGGAAAGCAGTGTTGTCACCCCGATGTTTGCTTATTTGACATAAATTGTTGAGGAAAGCAGTGTTGTCACCCCGATGTTTGCTTATTTGACATAATTTGCTGAGGAAAGCAGTGTTGTCATCTCGATGGTTGCCTTGTTTGATATAAACCCTGACAGCAATGACTTCGTGCCTATTCCTTAGGTTAATCCTTAGGAATGAATAAATGAAGGTTAGATGATTCTTACGGTAGATCCGTAAGAATAAATAAGATAATGAGGATGGGTAATTGAGTTGATTGTTTGATGAAATTAATAAATTTATTATTATTTGTGGGTAGAAAAACCTATATGCTCACCAGGTTCTCAAGCCTGACCCACTCAGATTTTTATATTGCAGGTAGTGGATCCAGAGCATAGTTTGGAGGTTGAAGATGGACCCAAAATCACGGCTAGAAAAGACCGATTTTCATTTATGCATTTTAAAATAATTTCAGAGTAAATCCTTTTGATTTGAAAGAGTTGCGGAATTTGTTCCCAAAAACAAAACATGATAAAACAATATTTATCAAAGCATTTCATAAAAGAAATGTATTTTCATTATATGATCAAAACTCGGGGTGTCATGTTCCGATACAGACCAATAAGCATAAACGATAACATTACAAGTCATTCAACAAATATATACATATGCAGACTTGTAAACAAAACAACTTGATGGTTCATCCATCTTACGCCCTTACACCACTTCCTGTAATACAAATAAAACTGAGTGGGTCAGGCTTGGAAGCCTGGTGAGCATATAGGGTTTTCAACCCACAATAAATAAATTATATTTAATTTCACCAACCAATCACTATCCCGATTACTTATTCCCGTTATCCTCACTTTACGTCCCTAAAACAACATCTATCTCAAGGGACCTAATCTAGGATTTTCATCGGGACGGACATTACTGCTAAGGGGTTTCCTCAACAGTAGATATCCTAAAGGCAACCATGAGGGGGTTAGAGTACACCGGTGAACACATCGTTCACAACACCTACACGTTATGAACCTGCTAGCGTTCCACGAGACTGTCTAGAAGGAGTCTGTGGTCGTTATCCATACTCCGCTGAATAACTAGGTCAGCAACAACAACATCGAGGCCTCTTATCTGTTTATTACACACCAACTATCTACCTATGTTCTACCCAACATATTAGTAGATAAAAATATATATTTTTATACATAGTTTAAAACCTGTATAGCATTTTCATTCAATACATATTTCACATAACAGATGAGGCATACCCACATAACACGTATTTCATAGAAAACAAATCAGATCTATGAGATTGAAGAGAGTGAATATACATTCACGCACATAACAACAAAATTATACACGTAACACGTATTTCGTATAAAATACTTCATAATTATGCGTTAGAAGAAATTAACTACACACTCACTTGATCAAAAGATGATCGGACAGCACTACGACTTGCAAGAGTAGTAATCCTCAGCAGATCTGGAAGATCTCTACAAAAATCGAACTTCTCGCGGGCAGAGCTTCGGCTCGGAAACCGCACTTCTCGGGATCTTCGGGATCTTGGGACTTGCTTCGGGACTCGGGAATATTACCGGGGCTTCGGGGTACTTCTGGCACGCAAAACGATGCAAAACGGGAGAGAGAAGGGAGAAAAATAGCAAAGGAGTCGGCTACCCTCGCATCCTATTTATAGGAGGCTGGAGCCTCCCAGTACGCGGGGCGTACTGCTCCGAAGTCGTCATGGCGTTCGTCATCCAAAGTGTCGACACTTCTCGGCGTACGCATGGCGTACACGAGTACGCGGGGCGTACCTCGGATCAGATCAGTGACTCCCCTTCGGATAAGGCCGGAATTAAAGATTAAATTTAAATACAAATTATTTAATAAACTTCGGAAATTCATATCTTCTTCATACGAACTCCGTTTTCGACGTTCTTTATATCCACGCGAAGGTGAGACTACGCTCTACAACTTTTTTTTAGACTCCGTTGGCTAATTTTAACTTTATTTTTATTATTTATTTTTAATAGGCCGAGACAGAAAATTTCGTTATAAATTCATAATTTCTTCGTTTGACGTCCGTTCTCGCCTAACTTTTTATCGCTTCGATACTAACAACGAGATCTTCGATTCTCGTTTAGATCACTAAGGCTAACTATCGCTCTAACGTAAATTTCACTTTTTACGTCATTCAGCGTTGCCGGTTCTGTCGCGAAACTTCGACATGTCATAACTTCTTCGTTATAACTCGGATTTCGGCATTCTTTATATCTTCGGAAACCTTGTTTCAACTACTACAACATTATCTAAAGATATCAAGTTTATTTTACAATTAAATTTTGACGCTTATTTTTATTCTTAATTAATCAAACCACATAATTAAGCAATTAAGCACAAAACACATAATACTCAAATAATACACTTCTATTATTTCAAAACGGGTTACAAAGGTTAACCTAGACTATTACATCTTCATTAATGACAGGCCTAGAAACACAGGCGTTACAGAGGGCATGGTAAGTGATGATAGTGAGATGCTTTCTATAGTCAAAATGGAGATGGTTCTGGTTATAGTGGAGATGATTCTGATGATAGTGACTACATTGTACATGAGTCTAACTTGCAATTTGACGTAGATGTACACATGAGTGAATTCCAAAGTGTCGTAGATGTAGATGAACATGGGATTTTAAACAAGCAAACCGAAAGTATAGGGAATGACATAGTTGATGAAGAGTTGGAAGTTATTCAAAGTGATGATTATCAGTATGCAGGATTTTATGAAGATGAAAGGACAAAAATGCTTAAGGAGTTGAGTAGGTCAACTCCATGCTCACATGGGGAGATCCATTTAAAACCATATAGGGTGGGGCAGTGTTTCAAAACAAATAAGGAAGTTGTGGACTACATGCATTCACTTGCTGTAAATACAAGGAGGTCCCTATACTTAGCAAAAAATGATAAAATCAGGATAAGGGTCAAATGTGGAGGTGTTGTGGGCTAATCTACTAAAATAGTTCAATGTGGTGGGCCATCAAATAGAAGTAAGGTAAAGTGTAAGGGACAATCTACTGAAACAGTTAAATGTGGTGGGCCATCAACTAGAATTAAGGTAAAATGCAGGGGCAAAAATGTGATTAGTAAAAAAGGAAAATGTCCTTGGGCAATCCAAATCTCGAGGTCAGGTGAGAATAAGGATTGGTTGGTGAAAACAGTACACGATGTACATAAATGTTTGCAGACAAGATCAGTTAAAGCGTGTACTTCCAAATATTTAGCAAACTTAATTGTTCCACAAATTCAGAGTAACCCTAAAATTCCAATCAAAGCTTTACACGAGGAGTTGTGTAAGAAGCTGGAGCTTGGTATGTCAGTTCAAAAGGTTGATAGGGCAAAGCAAATGGTTGAACGTGTGATTAGTGGGGACTACCAACTTCAATATGGGTATCTAAGGGGTTATGGACATCCTGTTATTCTGTCCGAACTTGCAACCCCAAACACAAATACTAATACTGGCCAAACACTGAAACTACCTGAACATTGAACTGCTTGAAGCAGTATACTGCCACATGGTTGCTTCCCAAAAGCTACTGAGACCTCTTGGGTCTCAATTCGCTCGCCAATCATCTAAAATATCAGGTTTATGCCCGACTGTGGAGCCAAAAGACTCCTACTTAATCGTCTCGCACGACTTCTGAACGTGATCCTTCTCTGAAACTAGTAGTGACTAGTTATCATGCCACTGTGGCTCTAACAACCTCCTAATCTAACCGATCGTGTCCATGCGTCACATCCTTTCATCATCCAATCCAAGACTAAAGTGATTGCTACCTAACCAACGGTAGCCTTACATCACAAACGCCCTTAAGCAGTCCATTACTTCCCTGATCTCATAACTGTAGTGGCATTTCTACAGTCTTATCACTTGCTCAACCAGATCTAATCCATCTGGGTAATACCGAAATCCAATATGTGTATTTCCATATCCTCACTGCTGCACCCGAACTGGTGGGTACTACCATTCCTTTTGCGTCTTAACAATGCGCTCACACTATTTACTAACCTAGTGAATTCTGTGGCTACACCCGCAGTCTCACAACACTCTATCATTATCTGACCGCTAGTGAATGGTACGGCTACCCCCGCAGTCTTACAACACTTTCCATACTATCTAACTGTTGGATTAGTGTCTAAGTCCATAACTATTTTAGTATGTACTTGACCCGATGGTGCATGGTCCTTTTGGGTTGCTTTCACCAAAGCAACTTGATAGGATGAATTATGGAGAGAAAGGATTAAATATGATTTATTAATATATTATGGGAATAATATATTAAAGGAGAAATCATATTGTTTAATTAATATTAGTCAAGAATTAATAAGAATTAAGTTTGTGGCTAAAAGAGATTAATTAAACTTAAGGGACTGGAATTGTAATTATAAGATAATTGCAATTTGGGCCATGGATTGCCTTGAATCAAGGGGTGGACGAATTCTAATGGGAAACCCATAAAGAAATCGTCCAAGGGTGTCACACCCCGCTAAAGCGGAAACGCAAGGTATGACAGCGATAACGGTTTCATTGCAAAAGATAAAGATACATCACCATAGCAGTATTTAAAAGTTTACAACCCATAGCTTCAAAAGAAACAAAATACAAGTTTTCAAAATAACATTGTTCAAAATATAACTTCATAATAGCTTTAACACGATGCAACATGCTCTATGATGATGAATCTTTACATCCACTTACTAATTATTTCCTGAAAAAGCATGTAAAACGAGCGTCAACTATGAAAATAGTTGGTGAGTTCACAAGTTTATAAAATCGAGGGTACAATAATGCTTTTCGTAAATACAAGTACATTGCTTCAATGATAAACAAGTTGATTGCTATTAATGAATACAAGTTTATTGCTATAACGAGAAACGAATTTGTATGTGTATGAGCAAACAATGAGTCTCAACCAAACCTATGACTGAAGCCCTATCGAGATCTATGCTTATCGTTCCATAGATGAATATGGTATCATGCACTCCAGCGATTCGGGCGAGTGAGGAGTTGTCAATTCCTAATAGCGCTATCCATAATGACCATTGGCTCAAAGAGTTAATGGTTAGAGATAAGGGAAGGGCCTTAGTACGATAAGTTCTCATGTTTCGTGTTGCATAGACATACATAAAGAAACATAGCAATACAATAGCAATCGTGTTTGATACAAATCAATTTAAATACAACATGCAAATAATAGTTTTTCTGGACATGCTTTTCCACCCCAAAACATAAAAACCGAAAATAGGGGAGTGTATGAATACTCACGATGTTTCGTGTAGGCACAAGCGGTACTTCGGGATGCACCAACGTCTTACTACCGGGATCCTACGACATCAAACACACACACTAGTGAGTTTCCATGTCGATATCTAATGCTAATATACTAAACTCTACATATATTTGTGTGTATTTAAGTGCATTTTAATGCAATTAACTTTAGAAAATAAGAGAAAAATAATTTACAGTAGAGACAAATCCTCAAAATTTTTACGTAACCTCCTACTGTATAATATGATATCCTGGTAAATTTTCATGAATTTTGGATAATCAGAACTATTTTTCCCATTTTAGACCATTATAATTACCAAAAATTGGGAAAAATAGTAAGACATGATGAAAAATCTTGAAATTATTTTATGGAGTCACCCATCACAGGTAAGGTATGCGAAAATTATTAGATATTGTATTTTCACATCCTCTAAAGTGGTTTTGTAATTTATCATGTCCTAAACAAAAGAAAATTAGAAATCGTAATAAACAGTAACAAAAATTGCTGAAATTTGGTGAGGGGTCATTATTCCCCATAAGGATCATCCATGAATTTAGTTGGGATTTATTGATCTCTAGAAGTATTTTATATGATTTATGCCCTTGGTTTTAGCAATAATTCTAATAAATCAAAGAAATAACAAAAGCTCTTGAAATTTTCCAGATTATCTCATGCATGCAAGGGCTTTCAAAAGGAAAAATGTTAAAAATGTATTCAGAAGAGAAATGAGGGTAATGATTTCAAACAATTTAAGAAAACTTGCATGCAATAATGCATGAAGTGTAGATGTGGTTGAAGTTCATGAATTTGTGTAGCTCATTCAGTGAGGTTTTAAGCCACGAAATTTCAACCATCATTCACTAGATATGTTAAGTTTCTAAGGTATTTTTCCTCAGATTTATGGTTGGATTTAAGGCCACTGATTATGCAAGACAAAAATAGTGACCACAGAAAAAGAGCTGTATGCGCAACCATTTTGTAAAAATTTTCAAAAATCGGATATTTAATATTTTACAGTGAGACCAGTTGGGTTTGAAAGTTAACTCAAGGAACTAACCAATAAAAAAATAATATCATTATTTGGTTAAGAAATGACTGATTTATGGCCGTTCAAAGTCGAACAAAGTAATCTGGCAGATTGCATGTTTGCTTGTGTGCATTATTAGGGTATTTCAACAAGAACATCATGCATGCCTTTGGTAAGGTCCGATTTCTAACACATGCATGGAATGAATGAGCATCCAAGATGTACTAGAAATGGTTTAAATGCTTTTGGTCATGCATGAACACAAAAGAAATGGAGAAGAACATGAAATATTAGGTTTTGATGTCACATGATCATATGTGCATCTTTTTCACTCCTTGCATGAGTTTGATCCCGGATTTTCACCATCTCTAACACATGCATTGTGTTATGGTGAGAATCTACAAAACCACAAGGGAAAAATAAAGATTTCTAGCCATGGAATGGCATAGAATCCGAAAAGAAGAGAAAACTAAGAAAGAAAAGAAGTAAAATCATGTAACTATGGAAGAAGATGATGTTGTTTACCTTTGTTATGATCTTGAGGGAAGTAAGAACACTTCAAGGGCTTCAAAATCTCGAAATTTTGCAGAGGAATGAGAGGATTTTCTTGAGTTTAGAGAGAGGGAAGAAGAGAGTGAAGTGTGTGAAGAGTGGAGTGTAAGAGAGTGAAGAAAGAAGAGGTGGAGTGAGGGTTTTGACTTAATGATTGTGTTTTGGGAAAAGAGAGTGTATGGGGAGGGGAGATGGTCGGTTCTTACATGCATTTAGGCCTCCTCTCTCCAAAATTTTAAACTTTATAAACTTCACCTCCATCATTTATATAAAAACATTCATTTTTTTTATAAAAATGCTTATTAAGCAATTTGATTTATTTAAAAATCTTGTTTTCAACAAATAAATTATGATTAATACTTGGTAATTTAATTTCTATTTCATTGACTATAATTCATAATTTGATTAATAAAAATTTGATATTAGGAAGTTTATAGCCAAATTTTATAAGGTTTTTAAGCTTTATAATTTATTACTTTGGATTTTTGGCTCTTTAGGGTTTTTGGAATATTGTTTGATATTCAACAACATGTTGAAGTATAATTAGAATGTTTTAATTTATTTTTAGAGTTTTATACCCTATTTCAATTAAAACAAAGCTTGAGGCTTTATTCTAATTATAGTATTGGCATTTTCTATTGTAGCTAAGCAACTTATTAGAATTGTAAGTATCAAGTATATTAGTCCTAGATCTTAGTTGGATCCTAGTTTATGCAAGATTTTGACCTAATTTATACTACTAGGCCATGGCATGTTGTGCATGAATGGTTTTTATAAAGATGCATGAGTCCGAGAATGACCTGAATTGGCAGTTGTCACAGTATCCCCCACTTAAAAAGAATTTTGTCCCGAAATTCATTCTATGTCATCGTTTGTCGTCGCAAGGGAAAAGTTGTGGATACTTTTCCTTTATGAAGTCCTCGCGCTCCCAGGTGTCACAAAGGGCTTGATAAAAAGGAGTCTATGGGTTGATTAGGGCTTAAGCATCCAAATTAGGGTTTCCTTGTTAGATAACCCTAATAGCCTCACTATATATAGATCCCTCAAGGCTCAAAAACGTGGCTAAGCCTCCTCTAGGGTTTTGTATACGTTTTTGGAAGC